AGACATCAAGGTACTATAAAAGTAATTTCACAATTACAAATGTTGACAGAGGATTGCAAACTGAATGCAGTGCCTCCACAATCGTGTTCCTCCTGTTACAAATGGGAAAATGGTATCAAACGCAGAGCTCCACTGGTAGCCCAGAAACAGCAAGAAAGAGGCCCCATGGGAAAGGATGAAGAGTAAACAAGGAAGTCAAAACTTAAGGTCCAGTTGTTTCCTGGCCTGAGCCAGCACAAAGCCCCACAGTTTCTGTGAAAGCTCTTCTGTTTGAAGGCTGTGACAAACTTAATTATCGTTAAAGAAGCTGTGGTTCCGTCTTCCAATGGTTTCTAAGTAACATGAAAATACAGAAAAACCAATACCATCACAGCAACCTTGATCCTGTATGCTATGTAGAAGGAAAACTGTGCTCACACAGAGCTCCAAGCATTTCAGGGTATTGTTGCAGAAGCAATAAATCCTCCAGCTTTCGCCTATTTTTAACTAAGACAACTCCAAACCCAATTGTCAGCTTTTACATGTTACATCTGCTTCTCCAGTGTTCTTCAGAAGCAAAGTTAGTTCTGGAATGACAAAGCCTTCTAATGTAGCAGTTTTTAACATACATCATGTAAATTATTATGCTATATGTCAAACCAGGCACTATGAAAAATAGCTTTCTCAATAAATATGATTTTAAAACTACCCTCTTATGTTTAATCTGTTGATGCTCTTACATCAACAGTCGAGTCTGATGATTTTCCTTATAAGTACTAACTTGTGCCCAAGCTTAATAAACATATTACACAGTTCAGAAGTAGTAAAAATTAGCAAGTATCATGTCACATCTTAGTCACTAATTCTATTCATTGTGTGCAGTTTCTACAGTAAAAACCATATGAGTGAATTACACGCAGTGAAGAGAACCTTTGTTTTGCTGTGGTATTGAATTTCTAGGGTTTTTTTCCAAAGGTTTGTTAACATACACTGCAGCACTACCACATAGTACATTCAGGATCCTGATATTGTGATACTGGAAAACACTCCTCATTAAACACAGATGCAAAGATGAAAAAATTCGAAGTCCACACCATTTGCTGTAAAAGTGCCATTAAATATGATAAAATTTAAGGTAAGTTCTAAAATGCAATGCTTAGAGGTGATTTATATCAAGATTTCTTATTTTAATAAAAACTACAGTTGTATGTTAAATCTGCAAAAGGCTGGTAAAGGAATTACAAAATGCTACTGTCTTAACAGGTAGTTTGCAAAGCCTCATCGTTTTTCTGGGCTAGAACTGCAAAGGCATTTACAGTGAAGAAAGGATCAAGAACCACAAAAATTCAATTAAGCACTGCAGGTGAAAGTCATTGTTAGTGGTAATTGTTAACAAGTTCTCTCCCCTGAAAACCCTTTACACCACTGTTTTTCTAATAGAACAGAGGGGTTTATTTATACTGGGATTTTTTGGCAACTTTAATTCTGAAATATCCATATTCTGTAACTAAAGGAATGTTCACTATCTGTTTTGTGGAAACAAAACTTTCACCAATAAGTGGTCAAACTCCTTAAGATATCTAAGCTTACAAGTCTTCCTGCTACACCTTTTGATGTTTAATTGTAGCTGCACGCACTGAAACACCGATATCAGATTTTAGCCCAAAATTCACCTCCAGAATTTCTTGATAATTTATATTTTTTGACACCTTGCGTAACTACCCATATTTATATTATTTATACACCCCAAAAGACTATGACCCAATAATTACATATCGTGTGATTCTGCATAAGATCTGGGTTTGGGGGTTTTGTTTGTGCTTTTTGTTTGTTTGGGTTTGTTGCAATTATAGCTTCAGGAAGGAATAGTCAACAAAGGTTAAAAAAAATCTCAAAATATAAATAATATTTTAATAATGAGGAAAATATGAAAGAATAGTAGGATCCCACTTTTGGGAACAAAATGATCAGGTTGGCTCTAAACACTCAGACCCTTATTTAGCTACAAAGAGTTGTTCCAAAACCTGTTTGGATTTCTTAAGAGAGCTCTGCACAGTAGCTTTTGTTCACATCGGATCATCATCCTCAATGTGAGGAATGAAACAACAAAAGCACTGTTGGAGCCAATTTGGACACTGGGAGGTTTGCTAGAGAACAGAGGAAAGGAGTTGGTTGCCAGTAGTTGCTTTGTATGGAAAATATACTACTGGACTTAAAGTCCTTAAAAACTTTGGAGCCCTGTATCAGACTCATGACAGTTATTTCAGATTTTTAAACATTGGGATCATATTTCCTAATATCAATTGTACTTGTAATCAAAGGAAACTTCTGGTCAGAGCTCTCCTCAGGTAGTCTGACAGCAAGTGTCTGCTCTAACTCATTATAGAAAATCCCAATACTTTATGAATGAAAGCTGATGTTGCAGAACAAGCCTGCACAATCTTTATTAATTAACTAACAAGATAGCATGTTCTTTCATGTGTTCAAAATCCATATTTAGGGGTTTTTTTCCTACTTCAGGAAAAAAAGGATGAGTAAGAGAAAATTTTTGCCCTGCTGCCCTGTGAGAAATTGTTAAACTTGTGACATTATCATCAGAACCGTTTTTGGAGGACAGAACAAAACTAGCAAGTCAACTTTAGGATGTGTGGTGGGTTCATTTTATAACATTAATCTGCTTTTTATATCCATTACTCTCAAATATCTTCACAAAAGCCAAAAGGGAACATTGGGGCGTATGATTATGTCTTACTTGCCCTGACACATCCCAAGTCTGGATTGCACCCATCCCTTTATTTCGCTAGCACATCGTACGCGTGGCAGCGAACGAAAGAGCGCTGACAGTGCCAGGGGGTTGCCTTCCCAATCTGTTCTCCAAGAAGTCAACATATGCATACGTGCACCGAGAGTTGTTCCAGGTTTTAACAAGATCTCAAATCACCACCCTGCCACAATCTTGGCACATCCAAGAGGTTCCTTGGTTCTCTCCCTCACCGTTTCAGGAGAAACGGCTGAACGCTTTTTTCGCTCCAAGCCGTTAGTTACAAATTCATTTCTGCAGAGTAATCTGCCAGCATTACCCCTCACAATTTGCATTGCCATAAAAGACTCATGAATTAAAAAATCTTTCTTTCAAACTTCTTTGATCTGTTCCTTTCTAGTATCTGAAGTTGCTTTACAATTTCTTTTTTGAACAGAAAGGTTGAATTCATAATCATACTCGTACTTCAGGTATTAATGACCACTTTAAGACACCACAAGCTCTCTCCAAGGAAGGAAAAGCATTGGAATTATCTTTGTAGACCTCCACACTCCCTCCAAATGACTTCTCACAAGAGTTTCACTATGTGATTCAGACAAGTTTTATGCTTATGGTTGAATGTCCCTGGGGTGATATCCTACAAGATTAAAAATTGTGTATGTCTGTGTTACAAGTTCAAGGTAAATCTCCCAGCTGAAGAAAACAGCTGTAGTTCTGTGAATGAATGGCTGTTTTCAGCTTTACAGCAGCAGGACATCTTGCCCTTGCTGTGCCTGATTTTAAAACTGGAAAGAGAAATTGGAAATCCAAATGGCACTCAAACTCCAACATGGGTTTTCTATTTAGATTTAACAGAGCATATCTTGATTTCATATATATTTTTGCCATTTTATGAAAAGGCATTTTTAAGACTTAAAAAGCATCATTCCTGTCCAGAAGTAGAAAGTGTTATGTTTTATTCTTGCTGAATTATATCCAGTAAGCTTTATAAGACGTGCCAAATTAATAATATAATGAAGAGGAAATTGAAAAATACATTCACTGCTTATCTTTTTAAAAATCCACAAGCAGCCTTAGAGAGATTATTGCTCACCAGCTCCCTCATGGTCTTGGGCACATCAGTTGGGACTTATTTTTCCAGAAATGGACCCATAGCTGTGCAAAATGAGAAGGAGCTCTGATGCTTGATCCATTTTCATTGAAGTTGCTCAATCTCCTCACAGGTAATTTTTTTAAATGATTGCTTAAATATTAACACATAAAATTCCTTATTACTGGAGACATTAAAATTTGCATAGATGGCACACATATCAGATCCTGGTGCAGTTTTGTTAACTGCACAAACAAAAAATATCAACTTCAAACTCCTCTCCTTATTTTTGTTCTATTCTTCACAGAATGTGTAGATTAAAGATGCAGTTTTGCAGACTTCTGTTTATAAAAAGATTTTCCTCTCTTTTTTCTTATTTTCGTTCTTTTTTTTTTTTTGTAGAGAAAGAAGATTAAGATAGAAAAGGAAAGCATGAAAAAAATGGAAATAATTACTGCCAACAGGATCATGCTATTTCTCACCAGAGAAAGTTGCAGTCACAAAATGAGAAACAAGTCAGAATTAAAAGAGCAGGGTAAGAAACATTAAGGTAATGAAAGCACCTGAAAATTAAACAATTAGTTTTAAGAAAGGAACTGAAGATGCGTGTTTGAAATATATTATACTCAGGAATAATTGTGTCTCTAAAAGTGAGAGGTGCAAAGGAATGAGTGAGAAAACTGATGCTAAAAAACCAAAAAGTGGACATGTAATGTGAAGTGAAAAGTCCCAAGTGAGATGAAACTAAAAGTATTGATAGAGAGACGAGAAAAATTACTTCTGTGCAAAGGTCAGGAAAAAGGTTAGAAATTACAGCAGAGAGGAAGATTGTTTCAAGTAAAACAAAAACAAAAGGCAGAGAAAAATATTGTCTGGTCATGAAGCAGAATGAGAATAACAGACCTTGTGAAACTTTGAAATGTATGAACTACACAGAAAGCAAGGAATCAACTTTGGTGCCAAAATGTGAATACAAGATTAGGAATCAAATTCCTAATCATAAGATGATGAGTTCTAGAGAGTCTTTTTTTCTTTTTTTAGACTCGTTTTGCACCCTTTACCCCAGGTTGGAACTAGCTAAAGGCAGTGGTATGGGAACATCTGTCTCAAGGGGCTAAACTCTGCATTTGTGTAACTGAAGATTCACTTTCCTCAAGCTGAGTGCTGTAACTCTTGCAGGACTTCAGTTCTGCTTAGTTGTATCACGCTGTAGGATATCCTTGAGGAGGTACTGGAAACATGCACAACAACATGCTTTCCTGTTTTCTTTTCCCCTGAAATATCAGATACTGATTGTTGCCAAAACAAGACATCAAACAAGTGATTTTGATCTGACTCAGTATGGCAATTTCTATAAATCTTATGAAGGGCAGAAAAGCATAACAGTTCCCTCCCAGATCTCCCAAATCATCTGTGTTTTGTTTTTCCCAGCAAAGCAAAGGAGTTCAGAAGAAAAGCATATTGAAATCAAAAGTAGAAAAGTGGGAAACAAGGTTTTATAAAAATAACAGTTGCCACATTTAGTTTCGCTGTAACAAATACTATTAACAAAGAGGACATGCCAAAAACGCACTGTGAGTTTTGAGGATGACAAGACGTCTATAAATAAACAAAACCTATTTGTACTTCTTTGAAAGGTCCTCACTATTTCCTTCCTGAGGTAAATGAACAAGTCAATCATATCCTGCGTGAAAACTGTGTTCTTCCAGAAATGAAGGAAAAAGATATAAACCCCTCAGCATTTGTTACATCATTTAGTTAAATTAGTCAGAGGACAAGGACAAGTCACTCTCAAGAAGAATAAGATGTCAACATTTGGAATAAATTTCATTCAACTTACTGTGATCATCCTTGAATTCTGAAGATTTATGTTCTCCTTGAGTCTTTATAAACAGAATTAAAAAGGGGGCATAAATATACAGAGACACAGAGTTCCTTAACCTTAAGTGACTCCAGTTTTTGTCTGGTTTTGACAGTGCTATCCCAGAATACACTTTCTATTTTTACAACCATTTTATTTCTAAAATAACACCAAGTTTTGTCAATAGAAGTGAGCTGCAACAATTGGCACCTCATACCAGGCATTCCATAGAGCCACAACGAGCACCCAGCTCAACTGTGTCCTAGCAAAATTCATCTTCTCTTTCCATTGTCATTTATTTTATCAGAGGCAACTTCCAGAGTTTGTGCATTTTTCAAGACAGTCCTTTTTAGGAAACCCACAGGTGAATATACTTTGATTGATGTACTTCAGAAATTGCCTTTCTGAAAAATTGGCCAAAATCCAGTGTTTAGTCTGTCAAAATGCCACTGAGTGAAAAAAAAAAACATACATTTTGGCTTGCCAAATCCCATAGGGCAAGAACTTCTATTCATTAATATTTGTCTCTTTAAAGCTACACTAACAAAGCTTGTCTTAGTCAGGATTCTGGAAGAGAAAGAGTGCAGACATTGTATGTCTCATCCTTAGGCAAAAGAAACTCAGACAGTAGCAATCTGGAGCACAGCAACATGAGATTTTGATGTTGGTTCACTTAATATTAGTTGCTTTGTCCAGCACAATGTTGTTGGGATAAAGCAAAGATTGAGTAAATTAATACCTCTACAAGGGTGTTTTCCTTGAGTATTTTATAAACTCTTCTTTCAGAATTGAAAACTTACGAATGGAAAAACAGATAGAAGAAGCTTTGGAGTGTCAAAACCAGAATCTTTGGAATATAAAAGGCAAAGATGTACCAAGATGAGATAAGAAAAACTTGAAGTGTGGACTGACTCAAGTTATTTTAGTCACTTCATGAATTTCTTTCTCAATGCCCAAGTAGGGAAAGCAAAAATCAGTTTTAACCTCTTATTCACTGTCCCAGTACCATGCACAACATGACTGGTCTGTTATTCCTTACCAGAGCAGGAAAAGAATGGGAGAAAAACAAATTAAGCAAAATGGTATTTGACGTACCTACCAGAAGAAAATTTTGCAGATAAATGTGAGAATTTATTTTCTAAAACAATTTACTGCCTTTCTTGTTAGCAACATTTTGAAATAATTAATGTTAGCATCTGACTACAATGTGAGTTTACATAAAGCCCGTGACATTACAGCACAAAACACAAATACAGCAGCAAAATAAGGAAGGCTATTGCTTACTTAAAAGATTTATGATACATTATGTTCTTTAGGATGCTATTTGGAAGTGCTATCTATTTCATTTTGATACACCAAAGAACATACGCATTTTAGAAATAATAATCTTAAATGTTCAAACCTTTAAAACAAAAACCTGAGGCTACTTGATTCCAAAAACTGTACAGTCAGATAGTTTTGACCTGGTTGTAGTGGCTCATGAGATTGGCCCCCCTTCCCCCCCCCGAGGTGGGAGTGCAAAAATGAGAGAGATTGAAAAGACTACTAATGCTTTTGCACACTTAAATACATAATTCCTCAAGATACCACTACCAGTTTATTATCTTACCAGCAAAACAGCATATTTTAGGATTGAGACTAAAAGACAGCCAAATTCTTTCTCACCATGTACTTCTGGAAAAACACACTTGTGTCCTCCAACACCACTCAAAACTCTTTGTATTTATAACATTCAGCTGCCTGCATAGATAACTATATAATTCTCTCCCGTGATGTGCCTTCTAAATTTTACTAAACTTGTGTTTTCAGGAAGTTCTTGTTGATTGTTTGTTGTTTGGTTTTGCTCTTTAAATCAGATTAGTAGATCATGTTACAATACCGATACAAATACTGCACAGGTCTATACAATCTGCTAGAGTTTCTACACATTTCTGTCAGTGTAACAACAAAACAACCCATATTTGGGGTTTCTAACACTGCAAGCAGTAACTTATATACAAATTACTAAATGACATCATTTGTTTTCTCATTGCATATTGTCTATACGCAGCCATCAGAGTTTCTGGTAAAGTCTGTGTTCAAAGATGAAATACAACCAGAGGAACATCCTTTACTTACCAAAGTTATTGATACCTGGCCATCAGCCCATTCTACTTATAAGGCTCACTTCAGACTTGTTTTTTTAAAACTGTGTTGTTACAATTCCATATAGACACGTAACTCAAGACTAAAAATTTAAGAAACCTGAAATAACTCAGTGACTTCCCCATCCACACTGAGTTATCTTGCATCCTCTAATATACTGGAGGCCTGTTTATCAATTTATGCTCCCTATTCAAATAAAAAGGACTTAAGCATGCAGACCTACTTCTTCTAACAGCCAAGATACAAGTATTTCATTGCTGTGTTCAGGCTTTGCAACTGTAAGATACACTGTGCTATAGGAAGACTGCTCAGACTTCAGCCTTGCTCCCATTTTTTGACCTTTGTTACCAAGTCTGCCCTCATCTGCTTTGTAAGTACTGACTTCAGATTTCAAATCAAAGTTTTGGCAGTACCTGTGAGTTCAGCATATTCTTTATGTAGACATACTTCTATTGCTACCGAGGTAATTTGGGGAACAATATCCACTATTATAAATCATTAGTGTCATTACTCAGAGTCGGATGACCTACCCCACTCTCCATTGAAAGTAAGTAGCTCATTAGATGAAGGAAGAGCACAGAAGAGGAATGATGCTTCTGGAAAAATTAAATTTCTATATTCAGTTTAGTTTCCATTTATCCAAGCCATGTGAGCATAGAAGCCATGACCTCCAGGGGCAGAGGTGAATGCCTCAGTATTTTAGGCCTTTCTGCAAACTCTGAATTATTCATTAGCTATAGGCTCATTCTGTGTATTATTAATGAAATTTTGCTACAAAGGGTAATGCCAAAGAGAGACAGATCTTCCAGTGTAGCTCATCTTTAGGCTGAGTAGCAAAAAAAATGACCCTTGCCAGTACTAAAGACCAAGGACATACTTCACAAATTTGAGTCCCAGTCTCCATCCCTATATGAAAAAATATGTTCTTTCCTGTTTCTCTCCACCTGCAAGCACCACAAAAGATGCCCCCAAAATGTCCTCAGTAAGAAAACTCCATAAAAGGCAAATAATAATTGTTTTTCTAGCTTTGTACTATTCTACCAGAAGTCACAGAGTCAAACCCATGTGATTTTTCATCTGTCTCATTTCAGGATGGTTTGAGTGCTGCACTCTGACTCAACCAATACTGGTTATGCTATGCCTTACTTATGGTTTGGGTTTTTTTTCTTTTAATATATATTTTTAAGAAGTTTCTTTATCCTTGATCAAGAGTTACGAGAACAAAACCATCTCTAGGAACATGTAGGAGAACTTACGTGAGTATGATTTGTCTTACAGTCCTAAGACAAAGACTAAGAGATAAAGGTCATTATTGTAGGTTGAATGTTTTCAGTCATTTCCAGACTAACAAGAGATGAAGTAGAATAGCATATATCAGAGATAATAAGCTTTAAATCTGCACAAATATTTACATCTGCAATATTCAGATGAGCTTTGCTGCCTCTGAGAACTCTGAATAGCAAATACACCAGGTCCTGGAGAAAATTCTACTCTGGCCAATACAACTGAGAAATGGTTCTATACTTCTATACTATTTTCCATTGATGAAGACAAACTGCTGTGGCTGTGACACTGGCATTCATGCTATACATTGTACTGGAAATTCTTCCTTTAAGTAGCTTAAAAATCAAAATTAGCTTGATTTTCTTAAAGATTGCTTGGCACCTCTAAAAACTTACCAATCCCACATTTAGACGTACCAATCTGCTATGTCTAAAGTATCACTGCTCCATTCAAACTTTCACCCAGAGTCCAGGTAATCCGAGTGTTATGGAAGCCAACACCGGTCACTGATCTGTTCCTGGGACATTCATCAACCAACCTCAGTCATGCATCTCATCTCTTAAACCAATATCTCAATATCATTCTGCAAGTGATAAATCCCTAAAGATTTCAGTAATGCTCCTCAAAGAAAAAAAATTCTGTACTCTCTACACAGAACGTTAACTTACCAACACTGCAGTTCTTATTCTAGTATTATTATTCTGCAATACATTTTGACACATGTGCAGATGCCCAAACAATACGCCTCAGGATTGGTACTTGCATCAGAATTGAAAACGGAGATACAGAAAGTTAATCTTATTTATAATTATATTCTTTCTCCTTTTAAAAGAGATAAGTAGGAAAGTAATTTAACATCTACATCTTATTGCAACGGGTTTGTGTTAAAGCAGGAGCAAAATAAATATATGATTAATATTTTTCTGTCCCAACAGCATTTCCACTTTTCATTCTGAGAACATCAGAGGTAATTTCAGGATACCATTTTACTTTTTCAGAGTGTTCACTTTTTTATAGCTGTACTGTTAGGTCATATGTTTAAAATTTACACATCAGTCACACTCACAACTACATGAATAGTGTTTATTAAGTGAAATCTCTCTATACTGAATTCTCTGCTTTATGTACCAAAAAAAAAAAAACTACATTACAAGCACAACATAATAAATTTTAAGCAATAAACCTCTCAAAAGAAACAGTATTGTGAACAGCAAATTGAACAGAAGAAAAAGGATGTCTTCTCTTTTGCGGCTTTTCTGTAGGTTAACACTGAGTGTTTCATGTTTTCATAGCTTATGTACCTTCTACTATCATTTGTTGGTGATACAAATAATTTTAGGTGAGTGCATTAAATTCTTTTATAGAAAAAAAATTGAAGATTTAAAATTAATTGAGCCTAAATGTAAGATTCCCAAGGTTGCAATTGTAGAGGTGGGCTCCTATGGGGCAGAGAAACCAACACTAGCAAACCTCAGGACAGCACCCTGATGTAGGATGCTGGTCACTAAAGATTTTCATACTGTTATTACTATTTGCAAAAAAAAAAAACCTGAGCAAAAATTCAGTATATTTCCATAGCTCAAATTTTTTCTTTTGCCTGTGAAACAGCATTGTTGGGAAATAGTCTGCTCAAAGAAATAGGATCCATCATTGTACTATAACCAAGATCTGTTTATTTTTATCAACAGCCATGGCTGAGCAAGTAGAAGTTCCTTTTAGGAAAAGACATGTGGATGCCAAATAAAACTTGTTGACAATGCTCCATTCAGACTTCAGTCAACACAGCACAACACTGGAAACCACACAGGGCTTGCTAAAAGACTGGTAAAATACATATATCAAGGAAAATTTTAGAAGCAAATGATGAGGTGGCATTTCCTTTAAATGATCATTCATTAAAAAAAACCCAAACACCAAGACAATGTATCAGCATTTATTTGATTCTTCCCAAGATGCAAAAACATAAACCAAGGAAATCTTCAAACTCCGACAAAATATTTGTCCGAGATGTTTGCTAGCACTGTTTCTGCTTCAAGAGTATTAAACAACAAGTGTTTGCAACAAATAAAAGACAAAATGATTTTTAAAATAAAATTATTATTTTTCTGAATGGAAAAAACCAAGCAAGGGGATTTGGGTTTCTATTATCTCCTTTGTGCAGAACTCTGAATGGTTTAGTTCCACAAATATGCTGCTCCTGATGAAAGTTTAATTTATCCTTGATCAACCATGTAGGCTGAAAAGGTTACTTTGATATTTAGGGAACACAGCAGAGCAAATCACCTAGCACATGCATAAATTCTTGAATGACACTTCTATGGGGTAGGAGAGGTATTTTAAAAGTTATGTTATCCATTCCCAGGGGAACAGACAGGCACCTGATTCCTGATCTTGCAAATCTGTTGACATGCAAGAGAAACTTTCAAAAGTGCATCTACTGAGAAAATTCTGTTTTACAAAATTTACTGAGGGTTTTATGGGAAGTGAAATTAGAAAATTTCCATTATGGAATGTAGAAGTCAACTGCTTTCCTTGCAAAAAAAACATCCCAAACATTTGGCTATTTTAATGTGTAAGAACTGAATTTTTAAGTGAAAAATGTTTCAAAAGTTTGCTGCAGAATTCAAAATATTAGCTTTATTCATATATTCACATACTTTAGCCAGCTTGAAAGGTGCAGACTTCCACTGCAGGTTGGTTGTCCTGTCATAGGATAAAGTGTCAATCACATTCAGATATTCTCCATTTGTCTTGTCTATGCTTTGTTCCAAGGGCCATAAACAAGTAGGAACATGATCAAAATCAAATTATTCCTTTGGGGTTGTGCAAGTCAAAATACAGAAATCAGAGCTGCCATCCTCAGAAGGTATTTCTGAGGGGAATAACCATCCAATACTTAAAAAGACTTGAAGAGATTAACAGAGATCCCATTGAATAACTGCAGATGTGTCCCCTTATTTATATTAGACAATCCAAGGCAGCTACATTCTGTATTTTTCATGAATATGACATTTTGGAGAAATTAAAGTTTCATGATGCTCACAAAAATCAATTTTTGTGGAGCTATTGTATCTGTACATAACACCTGCCATGAAATAAAACCAAGCAGTATGCAGTTACCTCTTTACAAACCCTGATGTGATAAAAACCCAGAATAAAACAGTAGAAGAGCCACAGTGCTGAGCACTAGAGAGCACAGCTTATAGACACACTTTGCCAAGTCTCACATCAGAGAAGCAGTTGGGGCTGCTCTGACTTACACAAAAACTGTCTCCTATAGAAAGCTCATCTTCAGGTAATGCCTGTCCCTCCTGGATTTTTTTTTCTGGCAGTATCCCATGGGCTAGAGGGTTCAGGACACACTGATTTATTTTTTTTTTAAACAAACATATGTTCTACCCATTATCTGAAGTAAAAATTAGTTCATATATTGCATGCATGTGACAGCAGCAAATCTTATGTTTTCTTGTTGGGTCTTACAGTTTACTTGCAACAAGTTACATGAGTAACTAGACAGAGATTTGAAGAAATAGGTTACATAAATGCATGCTTACCAGCTGGAGCAGAACATGAGCAGTGAAGCTGAAAACCGTGATGACCAGCACATGATTCACTGAATTTGCATTCCTTAAAGTCTGGCTTGGAATACTTTTTGCTCTCAATCTCATCTGAAGAAATCTTATCCAGTTCAATTACCACAGCTGACATTGTGACAGTCTCAGCAGATCTCAAGAACAAAACTGAACAAATCAAGAAGCCACTTAAGTTCAGTTTCCTCAAACTTGCAGTCTGTAAATAATTTCCTATCCCAAAACAAAAAAATAAAATAAAAATCCACAAAATGTAGCAGTGAAAAATATTTGGTTTTTTTTTAAATCAGTGACTGAGAAACTGTATTTCCATGAAGCTGCTCTTCCAGCTCTGCACCGTTTGATAAATATTGCAGCTCTTCTCTGAAGTAGAAAGCTAGTACTTCAGAAAGTTTTTCTGTTCTTGCAGTGACAACAGCATTATGACATCTCTGTGTAGCTGCTACAAAACCAGCAAGGATAAGCAGAGGCATTTGTATGCCTGCTAAGTTGTGGACTTGCTAACTTTGTTTTAAGAGTCTAATTCATGTTCTGTTCCCTACTGGTCCATCTGGGAGGAGCTAAGTAATACCCGTGGGATCAAGTGCATCCCAGTCCAGCTTGGCAGCTGTGCCCTGTTGCTTGTGCCACAGCTACGTTTCCTTAGTGAATGCTCGGGTCATTGACTGGGACGTGTGCAGCAAGATAAATTACCAGAAGCTGCATCATTCCTTGAAAACAAGTAAGAAAAGGTTCTCAGTTTCTCCATATGTTATTTTAGATCCCGGGGTCTAAAATGTTTCTTTCTAGGAAAATATTAAGAAGAGGTGATATTAAGGAAAGTCGTTTAGTTTTTTAAGCTTTTTTTTTACTGTTATTATTTTCGTTCCCTTAAATGCAACTAAACCTCAGGAGAACTCAAGACGAGGAAACGATCTGTCTCCCAGCAGACCTCTGAGCATTCTAAGCAGTGCCAAGGGAGTCACCCACTGGCGATGCTGGGAAGTTCGAGGAGCAGCAGGGGAGCTCACGACGGGCACCCTGGCTTGGGAGGCTTGGAAGCACATTGCCAACTTAAAGGAAATTCCTTTAAGAACAGCAGAGGTCATAAAGAATAAATTATCCATTAAAACAGACCATAGGTGAAAAATTGCTAAGCCTGAGTGAGAGAAAAGGTGATATGTGATTTCTCAGCTATTAGTTCGCTATCCCTCTCTTATCTTCTCTTTGCACAGTGGGAAAGAGGAGTAAATAATGCCAAAAACCCCCAAAAATCTGTACAGCCACGCAGTTTTTACTAAACAGTCCCTTGTCCCGCAACAACAAAATTTGGACAATTCCAAAATCCCTGAGCTCAGCTTGAAAAGAAGTGAATTCTGAGGGCTGTCCTGGCTAACATGGGTCAGGTTTAAACTGATGGTGGTATCCTCAACAATCTCAATACAGGCATGGAGCAGGTGGAGATCCCATGGGCTTGCACTTGAAACACATCCTCAAACAGGGCCCACTTATATAAAAAAAAATAAAAAGAATTCAGTATACCAGTGGGATACTTCTCGAAGAGCTGATTTCTAGATGGATTATGATCACAGCAAGGAACCCAGGTAAAAGGGCTACTACTATTAAGTAGAGAAACATGGAAATAGGACTGAAAAAAAAAATCAATCACAGGAGAGGCCAGAAATATGTGGTCGTTGTCTTGTTTTCATTTCACCTCAATTCATGCATATCAGGGGCATGAAAAAGCTTGACAGAAGTGTCACAACACTTAATAAAACTTTAGAAATGGTTATATAACAGGGAAAACAAACAAATGCGTCATTTGGAAGGCAAACCCAGCATGGCTTACACCAAGAAAGGGAAAAGAGAAAAGAAATATCACACCCTCAGTGACCACAGAGAGAACACAGCGCAGCTGCTGCTTCAGGCACCAGCCCTTATGTACCCTGAAATGGAACAAAGTCATCCAACCCTTTTACCTTTTCCAGGGAACTTCCTGGGGTAACAGGTCACCCAAAGGGACCGTAAGGCATGTGAGGATGGCCAGGATCCATAGTTTCTGTAAAATATAAAACTAAAAGGTGACCATATCATACTCTCAACTCAAATTTATTTGCAGGATCGTATTCCCATTTTCCTTGTCTGGATTTAATCCCTGATACCATATTATCTGTTCCAGTGGCAATGATTTCAGCTGCCTCGGGTGGACCATTGAGTTTTTGGACCCAGACTTTAGCTCCACCATTCCCTTAGTTGGTAGATCCAAACCATTGGTTCCCTCCAACTGTAGCTGTTTGTGGAGCCTCCCCCTTATTTGTGTTTTCAACGTGGGCAAAATTAACACTCGGGCAATCTGGTCTTGTGGCTTAATTAAAATGTCTTGATCTCTTCTATTTAACGAAAATCACCTTGATTTCCCCATTATAATCTGAATCAATCACTCTGATTATGGAATACCTTTAATTGCTAAACTGGACCTTGGGGCTATCAAACCAAAATAGCCAGAAGGAACACATGTTTCAATACCAGTATCAATGGCAGGTGTTCCAGTCTGTACCTTTGCAAAGCATACAGATCTAATCCTGCAGTGTCTGGAGTTGCTTGATAAGGTGCTAAAGCTCCGTCCTTCATTTCTTAATATGGGAGAATTTCTGCTACTCTTAATGGTTTTATTTGAAATATATATGTCCAAACTGATACTTATCATCAGGTAAGTGTAAAGTCAGCTCTTTTAAAATATCAATTCCAGTTATATACTCAGGGACAGGAACAACTATCACTTAATAAGTTTGCTTTGGCAGATTGCCAATTTTCAGCTCAGTTTTTGTCTGTACCACTTCCATCTGTAATCAAAACTTTGCCCTTTAATTTTTTAGGGTTACGTAAATTCAAGAGGCCTCCACTCCAGCATCAACAGGGGCCTTAACCATTGGACAAGGTCTATTTTTACAATAAATTTGAAGCTCCTCATGAGGACAATGGTCTTTTCTTGCCCATCCTTGGGCTGGAGCTTGGCCTGCATCCCATTCGGGTTTTAATTCTGTCAATTGCTCCAACATTTTAACCTCTAGCCCTGGACAGGGCTCAGCATCCTGATCCCATCCCCTCCTGGCCCCTGGAACCACTGACTCACCAACCAGGGGCCCTCCATTTCTAAGTGCTTGGTCCCTTTGGGACTCACAGGGGGAGCAGGAGGTCGAATTGCTCCATCCCTCCTGTCACCTTTTTGGCCTGAGCTTCAATTCTTCACTTTGTAAGCAGGTTTGTTCAACCCACCTGCCCGTGTAATCTCCACATCTCTTTAGTGGGGAGCCCATCAATCTTATCACAGGCCATCCCATCTTCCAACAAAGCAGTAAACATTTCCTTTGGAGAGACTCCATTCTCTTTCACATCACCATTCCTGTTATCACTTCTCCCGCTTGGTTTGGGTCCCCATTCCCTCAAATCTCTTAACTGCTGGATTTTTTCTATGACTTCTCCTATGGGCTTTCCTGCGAAGGAGCAAGATTCAGGATGGGAACAGTTCCAGGTGTGGAGAAAAGCATACAGCAATTGGCAGGACTTTATTATATGGACCTTACAGTTATCATATGGACTTTACTGTTATTATGTGGTTTCATTGTATTCACACTACACAACCTGGTCATGCCCAGGCTTGCCATGAGTTTGCCTGCTCCCTGCTTCCCCCACTCCTCCCCCTTTTGCCCGTGTCCCTATTTGTTCCCCTGCTTGTCTGTGTCCTGCTCCGCCCTATGTTCTGGCCCTTTCCCCTCCAGAGCTGATGAAAAACCTCGTGTGCGCTGGAATAAAGACTCTACCTGCATCCCACCTTTGTGTCCCTGACCCGTGCTGTGTCGCGGCCCCGTTCCCCTCCCCCCTTTCGGACCGCGGCGTATGGCTCCCAACGTGTGGCGAAGGTAGAGGTTTTTATCTTACAAAACCTCCCACATGCCACAAGGGCTCAGACGACGCGGAGAGAAGCGTTTTCATCCCGCTGGTCCTTCCCGGCTGAACTCCAGAATCATGGCAAGACGGCCACCGCACTGGAAAACGGTGAGCACCGGGAAAAACCTCTCATCCCATCTCCCACCCTTACAAAATTTTTGAAATCAACTGCAGACTAACGGAAGCCTAAGTAACTCCAAAAATATGGGCCTCTTGCTATCTAACCCTCAAAAATTTGTGTACCGCAAGCTTAAAGACTTTATTTTGGAAAAAGGACACCCCTTAGACAAAAAATCTGCAAAAGCCCTTGCTAAATGGCTTGAAAAGGGAGGGGAAGCAGTCTCCGACAGCATGTCTCTCTCTAAAAGACTGGGAGAAAATTGGATACAATATCTGGAAAGCGAAAGAGAGGGGAGACAAAACTGCTGTTGAAGCATTAATAGCCTGGAGGTTGGTTCTGATGATGCTACAACAATGGGCAGGGCACATCTCCAGGATGAAGGACCACCTCCTCCCTAAGATCCTGCTTTATGGTGAACTTGCCACCGGCTGCCGCAAGAGAGGAGCCCCGAAGAAAAGATACAAGGACTCCCTGAAACAACATCTCAGCCTCGGGCATATTGATCACCATAACTGGTCTACTCTGGCCTCTAATCGGGAGGCCTGGAGACAGACCATTTATAATGCTGCTGATGCTTTTGAGAAAGCACGCAGGATCACCCTTGAGGAGAAAAGACAATGCAGAAAGAATCGAGCCTTGCAGGATATACCATCTAAGGAGTCTTTCTGCTGTGTCTTTTGCAACCGGACTTGCCTTTCTCGTATTGGCCTTTTTAGCCACCAACGCGCTTGCAAGAAACGTGGGTAGAGCCCTTCCCAAATCTTCGTTCGTGAAGCCTAGCCATGACAACACCAAATAACCAGTTCAAATGAAAATCTCCCAAGAATCCGAGCAAAAAATCCAAAAATCCAAGCCCAAATCCCCGGAAAAGGACAAGCCCCGAAGGTCCCGGGACAGCGGGGGGGGGGAGTGAGAGTGCGGACGGCGAGAGGGAGAAACAAAGCGCGGAATACCAGCGATTTTTGCATCGTGGCGTCGGTGAGCCGGGCGGTGGTGTGCGGGCGCGCACGGGGCCGGGGAGCGCGGGGGGCGAACGCGGGACCGGGCGCCGCGTGGAGAAACGGCGCGCAAAGATTTCCACCAGAACGCCCTCTCCCTCCAGTGCTGCCTCTACCCCCGCATCATCGCCCTCCCGGGATAGACGGAAACTAAGGGGCAGCTCCAGGCGCGGCGGGCACGGGAGCCAGGCCCGGCGCGTGGCCCAGAGCGGGGCCAGGGCCTCTTCCGACAATAACATCAGGGGAGATGGCTGCCCGCATGAAACCTTTGTTACCGAAGCCCCCTGCAGCTGCCAGACAGCAAAGACACCCCTGCCCTATAATGGTATTTGGAAAGCCTTAAGGACAGAGGCTGCGCAGGCTAAAGACGCTGAGTTTTTAAAAGCTTTTCCAATTTACCTAGAGGAAAGTCGTACCCCCGAATGGCGTCTGGTGTCTTACCCTATATTGAAAGACATCAAAAAAGCAATTGTGCAATACGGTTTAGGTTCACCCTATACCGTTGGACTTTTTGAATCGTTTTTCCTCGCCTGCCATTTAATACCATAAGATATCAAAGCGGTAATTAATGGACTGTTATCGACTGTGCAGGCATCCGTTTTTGAAGCAGAATGGAAACATCTTATAGTTAAATATGTCAATGAAAAGATGGAGATGCGTTGTATTCCTGTAAGCAATGCTATTGATATGCTGTATGGAGAGGGCAACTATGCGAGCCGACAAGACCAGGCTCTTGTGGATTTAAAATATCTGGACATTACAAAAGAACTGGCAATGGAGGCCTTTAAAAAGGTTGCTGATGCATATGTCCAAACACCCTCATTCACCCTAATTCATCAGGGCCCAACAGAACCATTTGTGGACTTTATAACCCAGCTAAGGGAAGCTATAGCACAGCAAGTCCAGCAAAAGGAAAGCCAAGACATTATGTTTAATAAACTTGTGATTGAAAAGGCTAATGAGGATTGCCAACAAGCCTTAAAAATGCTAAAAGATCCCACACTTCTGGAGATGATAGAAGCTTGTAAGAATGTGGGGTCTGAGTCTCACAAAAGCAAGGCTGATAGCTGCAGCCTTAGCCGTCCACAAACCTGTTTTCACTGTGGTGAGGCAGGACATATAAAAAAGAACTGCCCACAATTAACCACAAAATCTGAACTTCCAAAGACACCATGCAAGCGATGTGGCAAAGGCAGACACTGGACTAAGGATTGCCGCTCCCTCACTAACATCTACGGAGAACTGCTGCCCCCGAAAAAATCACCCGAGTTAAGGAGAAAAGTGACTTTTAATTCAATGCCAGATCTTAAACAGTGCACCTGTGAACTGTCAGGAAACAAGGCAGCAAGCTCCAGGGGTACTGTGTTAACACAAAAACCCCCTCAACTGCGTTCCATCCTGCATAACCCATCCCTTCAGCAGGATCTCGTAGTCCACAGAAGACCACTATCACTAAGCTTTTAGACACCATGGAGCAGTGGCATCTCGGGCTGGAAACAGTTTTTTAAGGAGGGAGGCACTCAGCAGATGCAGCTGTCCAAACTGATTTGGAAGATGCAGATCTGTCCTCCCCCAAGTCCATTTAAACAAACCCTTTTTTAACTTTCTTTGAAATTTTGCTTTCTCTGTTTGTATTGTTATTAACTATTTCTTGTGTCACAGCATGCTGCAAGAAGGACTATCACAACAGACATTTTCAATCAAGTAAGGAAGGGTGAGATGTGAAGGAGCAAGATTCAGGATGGGAACAGTTCCAGGCGTGGAGAAAAGCATACAGCAATTGGCAGGACTTTGTTATATGGACCTTACAGTTATCATATGGACTTTACTGTTATTATGTGGTTTCATTGTATTCACACTACACAACCCGGTCATGCCCAGGCTTGCCATGAGTTTGCCTGCTCCCTGCTTCCCCCACTCCTCCCCCTTTTGCCCGTGTCCCTATTTGTCCCCCTGCTTGTCTGTGTCCTGCTCCGCCCTATGTTCTGGCCCTTTCCCCTCCGGAGCTGATAAAAACCCCCGTGGGCGCTGGAATAAAGACTCTACCTGCATCCCACCTTTGTGTCCCTGACCCGTGCTGTGTCGCGGCCCCGTTCCCCTCCCCCCTTTTGGACCGCGGCACTTTCCTGATTCATTTATCAGTAAACTCATAATCCCACTTTTATATGCACGTGTGGAACAGTCTTAATAATCCTATTTCCAATTGGAGCTGACAATGCATTTTGTAGCAAGGTGTCTGCATCCCCAATAAAAACAGCTCTTCATTCCTTCCTCCTTAACACCCTGAATACAATCCCATGGAGTGAACCAGGGCCACTGCCCTTCAAGGGGGTTTTCTGTTACAACCTTCCAGCACTACAGTCGACAAATGAGCCTCTTGCTCTGTGCCTTGGAAAGCAGAACGTAACATGACAAACTTCTTTCTGTCTGCCGAGTCTAATCTAATCCCAGCCTAACTACCCAGGAGATCAAAGACTCCCCTGGCTTTTGTTTAAATCTATCCATAATATCATTAATTTCAGGCTGAGTGAAATCCTCGACGACATCAGGCCTACCAGGATAACCATCAGGGTCACCTTCCAATTTCCCTCCTATTATTGGCTTTGCTTCAGCAAATACTTCACCATCCAAACTATGATCTCAATCAGCTGAATCCCAAATATCTCCACCTCATTTCTATCCCTGCCTCTGCAATCACAACTTGCACTTGTTTCCTATTGACTTGACCCCATCACTTTCCATATTTACCTTGGTCTACCCAAAATGCCGCCTCTTCTGCTAGTGTTGCAGAAGTGCCCAACCTGTCCCATCATAGTCAATTTCAGCACAGCAACAGAATTACTCTCCCCTGTAATTCACACACTTGCTTCTCCAAATTCATCTTCTCCTGACGCATTTGTTCTCTGTTGATGCTCCTTTCTATATGAAGACAGCAAAATAAATAAAGCACAACACTAACTCCCAAAATTGAATCCAGACGAAGATTCCTCCCAGACAAAAGGTGCCAGGACGGAAAGCTCTTGCTGCCCGTGGAGTGCCCAGGCTGGCCCACCAACTGCACCTGAAACCCAAAGCTTACAGGCTTTCTTACCGCGGCCAAAAGGGCTGTTGTCCCCTTCTTTTTGAGGTATTTCTTCTCAGGCAATTTCAGCGCAGGGCTCAAAAAAGACAACAACAGTCTTTCCCCAGGAAAGAAAGCCTGTAAGCTCTGGGTTTCAGGTGCAGTTGGTGGGCCAGCCTGGGCACTCCATGGGCATCAAGACCTTTCTGGTGGGGCACCTTCGGTCTGGGAGGAATCTTAGTCTGGATTCAATTTTGGGAGTCCAACTGGCAGTTTCAGTACAAAGCATAAAAAAAAGGAAACACAGCCCTTTCCCCAGGAAAGAAAGCCTGGAAGCTTTGGCTTTCTAGTGCACTTGGTGGGCCAGCCTGGGCACTCCATGGGCAGCAAGAGCTTCCCGTCCTGGCACCTTTTGGCTGGGAGGAAACTTGGTCTGTCCCCGTGCTGGCAGCAGCTCTGCGGGCCCAGAGCTCTGGCTCAGCGGGTTCTGGGCCACAGCCCCGTGGCCTGGGCAGCCGCGGGGGCCTGGGCTGGCCCACAGCCCTGCCTCTGCCCCTGCCCCTGGCCGGCAGCACCCAGCGGGCGTGCCCTGGCAGGGCCCCCTTGCCCTCCTTGTCCCCAGCCAGGCCAGCCTGGCCCCCTCAGCGCTGTCCCCACCCTCCTGACCAGGCCTCCAGGCCTTCTGCCGCAGGCATGGCAGACGCCCCGGGCAA